GAGCCTGCAATGCGCAGTCTGATCTGAGAATTGAACCCTACTTTAAAACTTTAGCAGGAAAAAAAGAAATTTTGGACTATAGCAGTGTCAAAGTAGGATCTACTTTCTCTCTTACTTCTACATAAAAAAAAGAAAAATTGAGGTTCAATGTAGACGCTAAATTTTGACTCGGGAATAATTTAAAGCAAAAGATATTCAATTTCGCAATAAATTCTTGCGAAAATAACTCGTGTGAAAAAAATTTTGTGATTTTTAAGACCCTTTAAAGATTTGTATAGAGAAAAAACGAATATATATTCATTTTTTTTCTCTTTTTGAGAACTATATACACTTATTTACGTGCGTTAATGCATACGGAAGTGTATCGAAGCGATATTGCGCGATCAAGAAGAAAGTTTCAAGCGCGAAATTGATTCCCGTAAACGATACGCAATTGGGCTAATGCAATCAGACTTCTTCGGAAATTCCAGACAAAAATCCCAGATTCCAAGATAAAAATTCTACCGACTCGAAGATTTTCTATGAATTTTTAATCGCGCACGTCCGCGGAACCGCTCGCGCGAATCCGGGATTTTCCACCTTACGTCCCGCACGTGGAATAAGATGCGAATCTACGAAACGTCGTTAAAGTATCGGGCGAACGTGACGAGAAATACTCGTTGCGAGAAGAGCGATCGAAGAGGTTACGCGTATCGAAGGTTTACATGTGATCGCAACATTTGTCGCGATTTTAGCGACAAAAAAAAAAAAAAAAAAAAAAAAAAAAATTTGTTCTCGCCCAAACAAATTTGGACCGAATGCAAGTCGCGCCGCGGGTTGCAAAGGCGTGTGCGGCAATTTTGTTGAGCAAATGGAGAAAAAAGCAAATGGAGAAGTGTATGTATAATCTCAAGATGTGTGTTTTTTTTTTTTTTTATGAAACACACATTTCCATACGGCAATCTCATCTTTATTTCCACCTGCATTAGGGTTAACAGGCTCACGCTATAGTCACATTACAGTTTCATCTGTTTACCGTACTGGACGGGGCGTTTCTCTGCTTAAACGCGCTTCAGAGAATAAATCTCTCTTTATCCCGAAAAAAAAAAAAAAAACAGGGACACCATTGTGCGCTTATTTTCACAGAATATCCGAGCAATTTTCACACCCACGGTTGATTTTACATATCCGTATCACATCCTTTGAGTCGTTCGCACGCGTTTTCAGCGCTGTTTAAAACGCTTCCCGGGATCGATCTTCGTCTTCTTCTTTCTCTTTTTTCTCTTTTTCTTTCTATTTCTGTTTTTTCGTTTCTGACCGCACATTGAAAATAACGACGGGTGATATGTATCCGTCGGACAGACGAATAAACGCGCAGCGAGGCGGCGCACCGCGACCTCGCTCTATAAAATATGAATATAAGCCAGTAAGTGCAAACCTCGCACTACGAAGAAAATTTCTCCGCAGTCGTTTGCAACGCACAGTTACTTATTTATCCGTACGTAAGTGAGCTGATACTAGAGAGAGAGAGAGAGAGCACGCGCAGTAGTGAGGATCATTACGAGCGTTTCCGGTGTAACGAATAATTAATATTCCGGCAAAAATCCAAATATCCGGGTCGGAGAAGAAAAGAAGGTAAACGCAAATGTTGTTTTACTGATGTTGGGTATCTTAGTTTAATTAAATGTCACCCACGGGCGATTCCTTCGATAATGGAACAAGACCTTGGAGTAGGGTTCCTCGTACTGCAAGACGATGAAGTTCTTAGAGCTGTGTTTGAGCGTGCAACTAACAGCTCGAAGCAGCACCGCGGTGCAAATTCAATTCCTCCCTGATCGGCGAGGACTTAACCATACCACTGTCGCAAACACAATCAAAATTTCTGTTACGGAACATCTACGGCGGTTGGCGTCTACGTAGAAATCGATTAATTGGAAACCACCGCGCGAGAGAGAGCGCTGTTCGAACAGAGAAGCGAATATCGAAACAATTAAGAGTATATCGAGATATACATATATATATAACATATATATATATATATATATATATATATATGTTATACATATAATTATTCAGATACATGCAGTGAGTTTCAATTATTTAAGTGAAGCTGATGACGTCACTTTTTCCCGCCGAAATGTAGTTTCTCTTCGATCAATCGAAACGAAATTCGATAAACCGCTTTTGAAAACAATATTGCCGTCACAAATGGAAACTGGATCATCAATTACTGCAATTTCCGCAAGTTGGAAATGAGAATTGAGGAAAGTTTATTGTTGCTGTTTCCTAAGCTCGTCCGAATCGATGAAGACTACCGAGTGACATTCCTCTGTTGCTCAGGACTTACTCCCTGGCGTAAACTTTCGCAACGACTCTTCTACGTGACACTTCCCCGGTAAACTTAAAGTTTGACAAGCGGAAGATATATCCTTGAAAGGTGAGAGGCGGCATTGCCTCTTAAGTGATTGTCTAAGGAAAGAGCCTCGTTTGCGAATGGAACGGCGTTTCCCGAAGTTAGATGACGAAGCTAATGCGGGATCTTTAGATCGCTTACAAGCGATTTAATTGTTCAACTTCATCATTCTTCTAATTAACCGTTTTGACTCTTTTTCGAATCGATTTCTCTCGAAACGAGTTCTTTTCTTGTCCATATATTAAGAAACAAATAATTCTTTTGCAATTATCTTCGTCTCGTATATATAATTCTCTCTCTCTCTCTCTCTCTTTTTCACTTTCTCCTCCATCTCTTTCTCTCCCATAAAGTTTTAATAAAAATTTGTTTGTTCGAAGCCTTGTCTTTTAAATTATTCTCATCTCTCACAAAGACGGTGATGTAATGTTCTCGAAGTTTGTGTATCTCGCGACGAAACTTATGTATTAAAAGTTAAGTAGTTACTTTGCCAGTAATGGACAAAATTGGTGCATCGTAGAGAGAGTTGATGGGAATTTGGAAACGACCGTTAATCCATTGGACTAACCGTCCTTCGTCATGTAGGTGAACAATGGCGCTGGTAGAACTTCGAAACACGGTCTATCCATTTTAGTAGTTTTCGGAGGATCAGCTCGATCGGCGAATCGCTCCGAAATTTAGTTTTGCAAAATCCCCCATCTTGTTCTACAAATACCGCTCTTAAAATAAACGCTTTACACAAGTTGCGCAACAAAAATTTAATTCGATATTCATTTATTATTATATATATATATATATTATTGTAAGCGAAATACACATATTGTGGTGTACTAATTCACTCTACTTGTGTATAACATTAATAACAACAATTATATACTTTGTTAGCGGAACGTAGTTTCTAATTTGGAAATATTATTTTAATATATGACATTATATATATATATATACGCGTTATATTGCGCTAATTACGTTAATACAACACGTGTGACGTCCGCCTGTGTGTACACGGACAAAAAAATGATGTCGAATCAACGGTATCGGTTTAATTGAAATATATCCTGTTGACGCAACATCAATATTGTTGCACTACACACGGTAGTTGCTTTAAGAATCTAGACGTTAAATTAATCGCACACGCAATTGAATGAACTATTTATTTTTGCGGCAGCCCGTAACATCAACTTTAATTAAAGCAACTCCATTTTTTTTCTGTGTAACAAAGTGCTTGAAGAATAAATTTGCCACTGTGCCGCGTGACGTTATACGTTATATTTTCGCATTAGGCGAATCGTAATTTTTCTTGCTGTTCTTACGACCGAGATCCGAAATGCAACAAAAAAACAAAAGAAAAAAAACAAAAATTGTATCATAACGTTTGATGCTATTAGTTTGATGTTATAGCGTCAGCTTTTCCAGTGCATACGCATAAATCCTCGCGAAATCACCGTGGCAATAAATTCGATATCACCCGTTCCCGATGGATCTCCGATTGGACCAAAAACATTTCGGTTCCACTTTGGCGAAACCATTTTTCGTTTAAATTCTCATCGAAATCCGTATATTTATGGACGACACGTCGATACAAAACGGGGGGAGGCGCGGAACATACCAGATTTACGATTAAACTCAGTTGACTATGGCTGACGCGGTCAAAAACGGTCATTTTGTCACACACATATCGCGCGAAACGGGGGGGGGGGGAGGGTAGCAGACAGAAAAGTGCATTTTAATTCTGTTTGATGTCGCACAATCGAACTTTGAAAAACTGTTAATCCAGAAAATCTCGAGCGTTTTATTTAGGAAAGAAACTTCGTCAACATTCGCGCATCGCGCAATATGCAATATCTCTACGTTTTATTCCTTTTTTCAATTTCATTTTACGTATGGTCGGGTTATAAATAACACACGCGCGGCTTTGATATCAACTAAGTTGCAGCGATTTTTGTACTTATAGTTCACTTTGGACGTTAACGCTTTTCCGTTTCAGTCTTTTTTTATTGCTCTTCAAATACAAAACAAAGATAGATTTGTGCGTGTGAGTCGCACTTTGCGCGATACGTGAGATGTTTTTTACGAACATAATATTGCAAATTAGAAAACATACATATATATATACATACATACACACATTCACGCGATACTGTGTTCGATGTCACAATCAGTGCGCGTAATATAATTTGCGATATTTTCGAAACTTGATAAACTTTGATTTTTTTTATTTTATTGAAATAACCACATTGAGTAAATATTAAATATTAATTAAATATTAATATATAAACAATAATATGTGATAAATAATACGACAAAATAATAATACGATGCTGTGCGTATTAGTTTCGCACAAAGCGTTCGTTTGTCATTTTTTTTTCACGTACTCACCTTGCCGAAATTCGAGAGACCACCGATTTGAGGCACTTGACCGGGTTCATCCGCCGTGCTGCAGTCTGCCCTAACGAACCAACAGGTCAGTAACTCAGCAGCGACAATCGTGAACGTTATTGCGATAGAAATCCTCTCTCTAATCACAGGTTTCCACACTCTCTCTCTAATGCTAACGATAACGGCAATAGTATTATTCGCGGGACAGTAGCGCGCCGCAATAGTTACGATTCACAATCATGCCGCAACTAACTCGTCTCTATTCCGAATGACCTCGGGAATATTCTAGTTAACTTCATTATTAAATTTTCGTGTGTTACGCAATGTAAGCCCCGACCGCTCGTTAGCTTCAATCTATTTCTCGCGTAACGCTATCAAACGTTTTATTTAATATAATCTATTTAATTTTTTCTTACGAACGTTTGAATATTCTATACAAAAAACAAAAAAAAAAAAATAATTCAGAGAAAGGACAAATAGTTTTTCCAAAAATATGTAAATTTCAACGTGACAGGCAGATTGGAACTAAATACACAGGTGTTGTCGTGCGAATATGTGATGGTAATATTATTTATTCATGATGTGTATATAAATAACGTATTAATTCTTAAATAACTAATCATAATCTTTAAAACTCACTAACCAATGTTATAAAAATTTAAAGTTTAATTAATTTAAAGGTCCTCCCAACCAAATAAATTTTATACTCATTATAAATTCAATAAACAAAATAAAACTTATAAAATTCTATAGGGTCTTCTCGTCCCCCATTCCTAAATCTCAGCATTTTTACTGAAAATTTAATTTATAAAAAAACAACTAAATAAAGTATAAATCTCATCAACTCATTCATCCCAGCCTCTAATTAAAAGGCAATTTATTATGCTACCTTTGCACAGTTAGATTACTGCGGCCATTGAACGATCTGTAAGTTAACATATTAATCTTATTTTTCGCGCATTTACTTTTATAAAAAAATCTTAATATCTTGCTATATTATATTTGTGGAATTTGATAAAGACCTAAACCGAAGGTCGAAACGTTATTTATATACATCGTGAATAAATAATATTACCATCATACATATTCGCACAACAACACCTGTGTATTTAGTTCCAACTGTCACGTTGAAATTAAAAACAAAAAAAATGTATAAGAGATCTTTTTGCGCTTAACTGTGACATATTGAGGAACAAAAAAAAAACGTTACACTCTATCCGTTTCAATTTTACTTCTTTTTTTTTTTCACAGCCGATTAGGCTAAACGCGGAAAAGCTAAATCTATAAAAAAAAAAAAAAAAAACCGAATCGCCTTTCGGTTTTATCGCACGTAAAATTCGAGATAAGCGCGTGTCTAACGCTCTCTCGTCAGATACTTGGAAAACTATCACACGCGGCGAAAAATTTGAGAAATTATTCGCACGTTTTTTTTTTAACTCCGAACATTTCTCCACGAGTCAATTGAATTTTGAAGCTCTTTCCTACAACGTTTTTTACACTTATTGTTAATTGAATTCTGTCATGTGATACAGCTAACGCGTTTCGTCAAATTGAACTGGGTCTTGTGTGAAAAGCATCTGTTAGTTTTCGTATCAGCGAGAGAGAAACAAGTTTCTCTCTAATGTTTTCCCAGAAGTCACTTTCGTCGAACACACACGCACGCACACACACATGTCCTTTTAGGTGCACGACGTCGCGTCGCAGCAACCCCTAACGCGTTCCAATTCGCCGTGGCATGCAACGCGAATCTAATCGCGATAACAACCGGCTCGCGCTCACGGAGGAAAGGGGAAGGAGGGTTAAATATATCTTGTGTAGATGGGATTACGCGCGCGAGAGAGAGAGAGAGACATACGACGTGCTCTTCAGGTCACTACCGGCTCGAGGACTCGCGGTAATACCGTGCTGACAATCGGCGCGCATTAGCGTCCGTATACTCTAAGCCGTTAGAAGCGAACGGAGCAATGACACGGCAGTGGTAATGGCAGCGATAATCGATAACAACTGAGTCATCAGCCGCGACATCCTCGACGATTCGAGATCCGTTCCAAGTTTCGCGAAACACGCGCCATTAAATCACCGATATGGCTGCCTTCTCTCTCTCGTTTGCCAGAAATCGATGCTTTATGTGTGTGTGTGTATGTATATGTGTATGTGTGTGTGTGTGTGTGTGTACACGAAACGTTGTTGTACATTTTTTCGGATCGAACTTAATCGCGCGCGCAACACTCGACGACGCGATGCGCCGCGCTCTCATTCCTGTCGCGAATGACGATACTATTTGACAAATGTATTATCGTCGCGCGGCGCTTTATCTAAAAATGCTTGAGGATTCGGTGATATTTTTTCGTATGGTCGCGCATTGCAATTGTTTCATTTTTACACGCTCTTAAAATATCCGCGTAATATATTGTGTTATCAATATAGATTGTCCGATGAAAGTTTGACCAAGCTGAAGCAGAAGCGGAAGATAGAAGGTAAAAGAAAAGCGGAAAAAAAGCAGATGGAGCAATATGTAACCGCGCTTTTATTGCTTGAAAAAACTTCGAGCGTTGTTTAATTTATAATATTATTTAATATGAAAATCTCATTTTTTTTATATTCAATTAATTTAATTCATTCATTCTCAATTCTCTGACTCGCGCAATAGAGAGACAAAAAAAAATATATCTCTCATAAAACTCGGCGTCTTTTATCTAATATTATCATAGTTTTTTTAGCGTGGAATAAAAAGTGTTTTGTTTTTTTTTCTTGCTTTATTATTATTATTATTAATGCGCTCTTTCCTTCTCAACGAAACAATCGAGTTGCGCGAAAACAAAAACAAATCGTTTCACGCTTTTAAATCTACGATCTCCAACATTGGAAAACTGCTGCGTGCGAACACATAGGGTAAAAGACTCAATTACTGTCACCTGTCCAATTACTGTCGCCCTAAGCTATTTTATTTAAAATATTAAATAAATCCTAAAAAGTTATGCGCGAAAACAATCTAACGTAGAATTTTAAGTGCAATTAATATAACAAAAAATCTCCAGCACTCAACATTCTTTTCTCATTTCGAAATGGTGAAACAGACCTTCCAGCTAAGAAACCAAGGTGGGTTGAATAAAATCAAATAGAATCCAAAACGGAGATCAGAGGAACGTTTCGATCTTTATTTTTTTAGATCATCATCAGCCTCACTGGCTTCCGTCCAAGAAACCAAGGTTGAGACCAACCTTGGTTTCTTAGCTGTGGAAGGTCTATTTCACTATTTTCTCATTTCTTTCATTTTAGGGGGTGACAGTAATAGCTCTCGCATCGTTTCTTTTTTAATTATTAAATTTATAAACAAAAATAGAGATTTTGAGAGGCGGTATTATTTTGTTTCTTATATCAGAGACATCGAATAACATCAGATAAAAAGAAAAACACATGTTTTTAATAAATAAGTAGTTAAAAACAATTCACTAACGTCAGAGTTTATTATTCAGATGACAGTAATTGGGTCTCTTACCCTAGTCACGAGCAGCAAAAATGATTTATGATCGAGATAGATACTTCTTTTTTGTTAACAGATCCTTAGTTTTTCTTGTTGAGTTGAACTTTCAAGATAAAGTATTTAAAAGAGACGTTGACTCCACGTAAATTCTGTTCAAGTGCACACGTGCGGATTACACTTTGTACTAGCGATTAACCGTGCCGTTGCTAAAAGGTTAAATCAGTAAGTATTTTTAAAACTAAAACGCTCGTTATTTTCAAAAAACAAAAAAAACAAAATACAATAAAAACAACCAAAGACCTCAAACGTATGCTATTTAAATATTTTTATTCATTCGTTACACATACGCGTATAAAAAATATTATTACTCTCATGAAAATTTCTATTTACGTCGCGCAAACTTTTTCTCGAATTAAAATCACGGTATAAATATTGTTTATTTTGTAATTGATAGTTTAAGTTAACAAGAATTTTTGAATTTACAACAACGTTGAAAAAAATTAATACGTAAAATAAAAAAATGGTGCTCGTTAAATTAAAAAAAATTAATTGTTAATTACTTTGTTGGATTACTATTAGAGTAATACTATTACAGTACCTTAGGTAAGAAAGGCGTGGGAAGAAGGATTCCCTCGGGTGTCTCGTTTTTACTACCGGTATTAAAGCAGATCGGGTCAATTTGAATCGAAAAGTCTATGTACCATTTTGCAAAATTCGCAATAATTATTGAGTTGGTATTTAAAATATATGTGACCCAACGAACATCTGGAAAGCGATGGTTCGAACTCTATAGGAGCGCGCGTGTATGATTTTCAGTTGTGAAAATCAGTTGATCGCAAGAAGTTGCTCCGGTTCTTAAGCTCCGGTTGTTAGGGGATTGCATGAAGTAAATTATTTTTTACTAAAAATCGTACACGTCCACAGAGTCCGAATCCTCTTACTTTCTACGCGCTCATCGAGTCATATTTATTAATTAATTAGTCAATAAATATTATACGAATTTTACAAAAATGGCAAATGAAAGTCTTTTTCATTCAAAAATTGATTCGATCTTCACACTTCGGTTTGGTCAACATTTTTTCAGACACGTTGTATATATATATATACACACGCAGTCACGTTAATCTGCACGGAATTTATCACGTTGTACGCGAGATTTAATTGCAAAAGGATGGATAAGCAAGAGACGCGGGATTGCGTGAAATATGTCGGCTGTCGGTTTCGGAAGGAAATAAATTGCGTTGAGCACTGACGCGTCTATTGTTAACGATTTTTATCGATACAAGCTTTGCGCACGCTTTTATACTTCTGAGGGTGTATTTTTCTGTGAGTTGAATATAACACATAAACAAGTCGAGCGAGTTGATCACCGTCTTGCGTGATCCCCCATTATGCACCGCGTAATGACGCGTTTATAATGACCGGAGTGTTATTCGACAAAAAAAAATTTAATTCGAAATGTTTTTTCATTCTTAGATACGAAAAATTTTGAGGTCATCTTAAAACGCAAACATTTCAGATAATTTTATTCTTCTGGATAATTTTGATACGACGAGAGCAGTTGCAATTTAATTAAGTAAAACGTGTTTTAATTTAATCTAGTACCGAGCAAAGTTTTTTTGAAAACCGCCGTTATAAATTCTCTCCAACCGGAGAATTTTAACGTTTTCAGATAGGTAATTATACCCACAGAATTATATCTGCGCCGAAAAAATTGTATTCTTGTTTTGAGGATGTCCCACTTACTTCAAGTATATTTTATACTAAAATAGGCGCCACGAAGAGTTTCTTATTTTAAGAGGAAAATCCTCTAAATAGTAATATTGATAAGAATATATACTGATTAGAATATAAAAAGCCTTTATATAGAAAAACATATATATCTCACTATCGAAAAAGACTATATTCTTAAATTAAGAATATATTCTTAAATAAAAAATATATTTTTAATTTCAGAAGAATATCATCTAAAATCTTTAAGAAGATTTTTTAAGTATAAAATCTTCTACTTACAAGAATATAATTTTTTCGGTGCGCGCGGAATAAATTATAACAAACATACTTGTCGAATTTGCGCCAAATGAAGAAAGTCCGTGATAGAAAATATAAAATCTGTTTCGGTCATAAACGCGCGCGATAGCGCGGCAAAATCGATTTATAATAGAGCATCGGATTCTTGACTCGCGTCACATCGTAAAATACAACGTGCTACCATAAAACCGAAAACTACAACGCGGAGAAGGTGAGACGGATAAATCAAAGCTCTTCTCGTCTCTCGCTCGTTGAAAGAGCGTCGCATTGGGAATGCGCGATGTGTTTCGCGATCAGTTTGTGCTCTGAAAGTTTTTTATTGCACTTCTCCTGTGCGGAGTCGACGTCTCGTGAAAAGGTCGTCGCCACTCGCGAGTTCGTTCCATTGTTTACCACGTATATAGTAATATTTCTACGGTACTGTGTGTGTCTGTTGTGCGGCAGCAGCTGAAGCAGATGACTTGCAACCTTCACATGTATGTAATCTCCGCGCGTTTCAATGTTCTTTCCCCAACACGAGAACGAACTAACCAACCAACTACTCGACGTAAAAAAAAAAAACAAAAAAAAGAATCACCCGGTAGATTACCTCGCTCTAATATCTATATTGCGATACAACATAACAAACATAAGTTTATTTTTATTTATTTTTTTTATTGGAGTAAATTTCATTATTTAATGTGTATTAGTATATTTATTTTATACACGTACATATATATATTTAATACGTATATACATACGTATATTCTGATTTTTCATGTTTTTGCATATTTTTCTAAAAAAACTGGAACATAAATAAATTATTACATTTCAGTTTTACAAAAAATGTTAAATGAAATGTTAAAAGAGAGAGAGGCGAATCTTCCATGTGAATTTTACTAGAAACATTTTCCTCTTTTTATTTATTTATTTTCACGAGAGCTGGTTGGATATATTTGTTTTTGTTTTTCCTAAACGTAAAAAGCTTGTGCAAGTTGTATTTTGCGCAAATGAAAATGTTGCGTCGAACTTGAAACATTTTGAAAACACACAAAGGCTTTGGTTTAAAAAAAACAACAACGTAATACCGAACGACCTTGGGTAAAACTGCGATCCCGCGACATTGCAAATCGCTATCTCTTTTGCTTCGGCATTTGAAAAGCCGCGGCGGCGGCGGCGGCGGTCTGGTGGTAATACCGTAAAACTAGCGTTGCGCGCACGTTGAATTTCGCGGATTACATACGCGCATCGCAGTAACGTTATGGGGCGTTGATCTTACGGTCCGCGTGTGAGAACTCTTTTTTTTTTTTTTTTTTTTTTTTATTATGGGAACTTTAATCCGTTTACGTTAAACGTTTTACTGCTCGCGTTCAAAGCGATAGCTTTTAATGCCCGAGAAATGAACGAAACCGGTACACACAGTTTCGAATTACTACCACCACCGACCGAGTATTTCGTTCCGGAGCGCCGGGATGAAAAGTCCCGGCTGTAAAGGCACTGCCGATTGCATCTGTGGCGTTATTACGCAGCTTGCGGTCCATTTTCACCGGGGCCGAACGATAAAATTCTACACCGTGTGTGTAATCGCCGTTCACGCATCAACGCGCGTCGAGCCATCTGCATATACTTTTATCTCGGTCTACCGACACTCACGGATTTTATTCGTCAGTTTCATTTTCACCGACCGCCTCCGCGTGTCCGCCAAATATGTAACGTTTTCACAAAAAGCCAAAAAAAAAAAACACGAAGTGATCATTAATCAATTAACTCGCACACAAACTTTGATAACATTTGATACGTAACGTGTTCACGAGCGAGCGCGTGTCGTTTATTCGCGTTGAAAAAGTGAACAAATTAAAAATATATACAATATTTAAAATTATAATCGCGTCGAACATGAAAAGGTCATTAAGCGACGCAACGCGCGCGATTTTCACTTTAATCGGATCGCGTTTGACGCGTTTTAACGCCTTGATTTGCGAGGGGGGGGAATGGATTTATTTGCAGTCGGGAAAACTCAACGCGATTAGAGCTTTGAATTTGTGCGTGTTGTGTGTTGCGAGCGCGAAATGCGCATAATGGGGGACGACGTTTAATGGAATTGCTGCTCTTACGATCTCTCGCAAAAAAAAAAAAAAAAAAAAAGTAACGCGCCGCGGCAGCAGCGCGAGAAACACCAGCGCTGACGCATTTTGTTTCCGCTTCTCTTATCGTCTTCTCGCTCTCGCCGTTGTAATCGCGATTATATATTAACATTCTTTATTTATTTATTTTTTTTTTTGTGCGCTGGCACACTCACCAAGGCGTGTTGCACGTGTGCGTGAGGGTGAGATATCTGGCGCCGAGCTCGTACAGCATCCTCAGGACCGCGAGACTCGCTCCGACCGCGTGGCCCCCTTCGACCCCTATCAGGCTCGCTAATCTACCCTCTTTGTGCGCTCTCTCGATACCTGAAAACCATATCATTATATAAATGTACTTCTGCCGTATATATCCTTCCTCCTCCTCCTTGTCGCCGTTATTCACGCGTAACAGCTTAAATCTGGATCTTAGTCTGGAGCTTTGAGTCCTCGTCGCTATTACGGGCCATTAACCCTCCCGACGACGTTTACACACAATGACGTCGTACACACGACTACCTTTCTCGAAATAGCGATCTAAAACCGCATTTCAACAGTTGAATGAAAAATGTTTTTCGTAGCTTCTTTTACGTACTTGACAAAAAATACAGTTTAAAAGTGCGCGCAAATTATTATCAAGGTAAAATATTTTAAGTAATATTTTATAATTTTGTGTCGCATCAAATCTTCGATTACAAAATACAGAAATTCAAAAAAAAAGAAAAAAACTACCATCGATGGTATTATAGCTGCTATTTTATTGTTAGCTACGTCGATTTTGTTTTTACATTTCCTTTAAGCTTGTTTTTTAAGGCTTGGTTAATTACAAAATAATGATTTTGTCAATATAATATTTAAATAAATAATACAAATATTTCTAATATTTAAATAAATAATAATATAAATATTTTTAATATTTAAATAAATAACACAAATATTAATAATATAATATTTAAATAAATAATATTTCGATAATTCCCACTTAATTTTGGTCTTAAATTTTAATCAACGCGTGTGGAAAAATACTGAAATACAATTTATTTTGTCAAAATTTATCACTGCGTGCGACAGTTAATTGAAACAATTATAAATTGGCCATTAGCTGGGTATTTTAGAAACGGACGAATTTAGTTTCAAAAACAGTTCTTGATGAAGATACATTACAGTGGGAATTTAACGCTTTTTGAATATTTAATATATTGTTATAAAATAGAAGACCCTGTATTATTACATCGAGTTCACGCTCGAGTGTGTCCATCAATTTTCCTCGTCGGAAGAATAATCTCGCTTGTGCGAGCTCGCGCACGTAAAACGCAAGTGACACGCGACTCTAATAACAGTTGAAACACCGTTGCATAAAGTTCCAGCCGTGTCTGCGATAAGGTAACGCCGATGATAAGTGGATCCGTGCGGGAGAACTTGGCAAATTCTCTTTTGAACGCGCGCGTACGTACCGCGCGCGATATCACAACGCGCGGAGTCGCGATAAGACGTTCTCAACGCGAACGTAAAAGATTCTGAAACAATTGTCCGATCGAAATTCGATCGCGCGAATGAATAAAAACTTGAGCGTTAAACATTTATTGCCGATACTCTCTCTCTCTCTCTCTTTCTCTGCCTCGCATATATAACAATCCCGCACAATCTTTTGTTTTTTTTTATTTCGCGCGGTCCGAAACGTAAACAATGCGAGAGCGCAAAATTCAATTACGACGCGCACAATGCGCGACGCGCACGGATTATAATTAAGCGAGCTTATCCGATGTCTGCGATCTTCGGATTAATTAAATCTTTTCGAATATTATCCTATCGGGAGGGGAGGAAATAGTTTCATCATCAAGATCGTCGTTAATTACGCGAAGTGTAAATAAAAGTTAATTAACCCCCCCTGGGGTGTGTACCTCGCGTCACTCGTGTCGTTCTTGTTCGAGAGCCCGCGAAATCCGAAAACGGATCGAAGAAAACTCCCAGCCCGAAGCTCTTAATCAGCGAGTAATCGGGGCATTTTGTCAGCGTTGCCGCAAATTCGATCGAACGCGACGCGCATTAAATCGCTTAATCGAATCCGACGGCGCTAGAGATCTGGTCGGATGTGACGGAAAATTCAATTTTGCGGTAACGTCTGCGTTGTAATTTGCTTAAAAATGCTTCATTTAGCGCAACGGCTATATGACAATGTCAATACGTTTGTAAAATAAAATTTTGCAATGTGTGTGTGTGTGTGTGTACGTATTTACGTTTTCTCTTTTACGCGCGAACGAATTCTTTTATCGTCCGTCCGAGTGTATCCGAACGCTAACCCGGCGACTTGCGCGAACGAGTTTGATATAAAAAAAAAAAAAAAAAAAGAAAAAAAACGCGCTAGTAATTTATCATCCAATTACATAGAATTTACGGCGACTAGGCGGAAGTAATACACTTGACGGCCAACGACGGATTACCGCGCTTCTAAAAATATATATATCGTTCCGCAGCAAGGTAACATCACAAAAGCAGCAAGCGGAATATATAATAACGACCTGTGCTCCGCTTCGTTACAATATAAACCGGTGTATATTTTTAATACGTTCAACGTGTGTGTCTCACACTCGCATCGCTCGTCGAGCGATCAATAATTGAAGAGTTAGACGAGAGATAAACGTAAGAATGAGTGTTTTGGAAAAAAATTCAATTTTGCAATTTTCCGCCCCCGCCAGTCCGACGTTCGCATTATCAAAGAACTAGTTATTTAAAATAGCTTTTATCAAGTTATGTTTTTCAATCAAGTCGTTAATGAAAACATTGCGTTTTTTTTTTTTTAAATTACAATATCTTTTACATATGAGCGCAAAACACAACGCCGTTCTCACATCGTCGATATTTTCAAATTATAAATTTCTCAAAGTCCGTTAAAAGATAAAAGTTCGCGCGTTAAAACAACCTATCGGTGGTAAAATTTGCATAATTTTCAGATGCTCGCTATATCTCGTGTTTTACGACAAAAAAGAGAGAGAGAGAGAGAGAGAATATGAGACAAAAAGTTCACTTCTTTGTCCGGACAGCGACATATTATACGAAAACTTTTGTCATATCGATTCGAGTTGCGTCAGATTTGAATCCTTCGACCTTCACCCAGTTTTTTTTTCTTCCCCGCACGCGTGATAAAAAAAAAAAAAGTTCACCTTTCTCAACGATCTCGCGTTTTTCTTTCAAAACGTAATTCAAACACGCGTCTAAACGCCACGTCGTTTGTCGCGTCTCGCGGTGGCGATTTTTGATTTTTGATTTTTTCCTTCCTACCTTCCTACGCTGACGCGTCGTCGACGATTACGCGTTGTATCACGGCTGCTAATAGATGAAACCGACGAAAAAAGAAGCGACTGAAAATGCTCGCTGTCGATGGGTTCCTGATTTAGTGCAACTCGCGATTTATACTTTTGCACCCGTAAAGCCGATACATTCGATTCCACGAGTGTGTCGTGTCGTGTATCGGCGTTCGGCGTGTGTTCCTCGTACGGCACGTGCGTGTATTCGCGCGTGTGTGTGTGTGTTGAAGCGCGCATGAATGAATGCGCGCCGCGACCAACAAACCGGGCGCGCGCTTCGACATTATCGGAGGAGCTATGGGTGGGAGGAAGAAGAAGGAGGCTCTCTTCTCCGTGGTTTCTCAGAACATTCTTTCATTCCTCGTGGAATTTCTCATCTTCCGCGTTCTAGCGTCGTTCCTTTCTTCCATCTGGCAGATTGCTTCGCCCAAAGTGCGATATATTTTGTACTTCCTCGCGCGATCCTCCCGATGTTTCGCGCGACCCCCTTTTTGTGCAGAGAGAGAGAGAGAGAGAGAGATAACGGGGGAACTGTACTGTTTGACGGCGCGCGCGCGGACAAATTTCGCGTGGAAAAAAAATTATTTTCAAAGAATACGAGCGTGCCGCGTTGTTTTTTTTACGGCAACATACGATCGCGGCTATCTCTCTTTATATCAAACACTTCCGCTGTGAAAATTATGAAACAAAGAATGAATTATCCGCGATGAAATAGAGCGCGTGATTTTTTTCCGAAAAAGAGGACGACGCGCGCGCGTCGGCTAAAAATTTAGTTTTTCAAAACTCCCGGACTCATCTCTTTCTCGTTAATTCTCGGATATATATATATATGCCGACGACGGAGCTGATAAGCGAGATGTGTGACACGGGAGAAATTTCTCTCCTCAAAAAATGAAATGTCATTTCCAAGGCGCGCCAAAAATATCGCGCGCGGAAATATAATGCGACGCGAAAAACACGCGTTGGAAGTTGGAAAACGCGGGGGTGGAATCCGCGCAGTAGTCTGAAATATCTCGGCCTTTTAATCAGAGGCGGAAAAAATCCCCAAAAAAATAAAAAAGAAAAAAGAATTGTCGCGGCGCGGAATACGGTGGGAGACGGGCTGTCGGTTTCGTACAATCAGCTGTCCGTATGTATGAACGTACGTATGCGTATTTTATGTTGATTTACATATGCATGTGCGCGGCGACATGCAGTCGTCGACGTTCGGGGTTATCGAACGGGAGTATACCGAGAGATGGGGGAGTACGGGGGGGAGGAGATACACGCCGGACCGACATTTTTCCATTCCAGTTGGAATTTACCACCGCGTGCGCGTCTTCTCTCTCCTCTCGTGTTCCATCATCTTCCCATCGGATTTGCGTTACGCTTAGACAGCGCGCATTGTGACGGCGCGGGACGACAACGACAACGACGACGACGACGACGACGACAACGAAATCCAACGGCAAATATTTGCTCACCAAATACAAGAAATATTTTCCAGAAATATTCCCGCGGCGGGGGCTACGCATCTTCGCGAAATACACAGCGCATTAAAACTAATAGAGAAAATAACGGATATAGTCGCTGTGTGTTTACGTGAAAACACACAGCGTTAAAAGAGAAATAACAACACAATGGAGAAGCGGCGCGGAACAGCTTCGTAACTGTATTATTGACAAATTGTATTATTGACAAACTTGTGTATTTGATGATGATACAAAAACGAATGCGTGACAATCCGACACTATTGGAGTTTACGAGAATCTACGAGGAATATTTCTACAAATATAGTCAGATAGTTTGTAAACATCGTAAAAACAAAAACGCTTTTGAATCTTTTTAATTGTAATTTTTCCAAACATCTACGATGTCACATAAACATTGCAAAACATTGTAAAATATTCAACGATAAAAGTTTTATATACAATAAATACAATAAATATAAAGGTCAATTAGCGAGCATAAAGACCGGGTGTTGGTGGTGTAAAAATGATACACCGAAAAAATTGTATTCTTGTTTTTTGAGGATATCCCACTTACTTTAAGTATATTTTATACTAAAATAGGCGCCAAGAAGAGTTTCTTATTTTAAGAGCAAAATCCTCTAAATAGTAATATTGATAAGAATATATACTGATTAGAATATAAAATGCCTCTATAGAAAAACATATATATCTTACTATCGAAAAAGACTATATTCTTAAATTAAGAATATATTCTTAATTTCAAAAAAATATCATCTAAAGTCTTTAAGAAGATTTTTTAAGTATAAAATCTTCTACTTATAAAAATATAATTTTTTCGGTGTATATATCGTCACTCCCTACGTATAATTCCGTAACTCCAAAACGCAAATTTTAGAGGAGAGCAGTTAAAAGTATAAAGCTTCATATGTTTCCCTATAGTTAGGGATCTTTCGGTTTCAAATTTGTACCTTATTTATGAATATTGTTTTGTAATATTTGGTGACCATAAAGAACATGACTTTCTAAGTGTCATTATGCAATAAACTGAAAATCCCATATGTGACACTTATGTAATTATACGTAGGGAGTGACGATATATATATATACACGTACACTGAAAAAATTGTATTCTTGTTTTGAGGATATCCCACTTACTTTAAGTATATTTTATACTAAAATAGGCGCCACGAAGAGTTTCTTATTTTAAAAGGAAAATCTTCTAAATAGTAATATTGATAAGAATATATACTGATTAGAATATAAAAAGCCTCTAGAAAAACATATATATCTCACTATCGAAAAAGATACTACATTCTTAAATTAAGAATATATTCTTAAATAAAGAATATATTTTCTTAATTTCAGAAGAATATCATCTAAAATCTTTAAGAAGATTTTTTAAGTGTAAAATCTTCTACTTACAAGAATATAATTTTTTCGGTGTACATATATTTAAATAAGAATTGCAAGCGAAACGTTTCTACTCTCACTCTTAAAAGTTATTAAAATTTTCAACTGTAACAATAAATTACACCATCATGGCTTTCAACATTTTTGTAAAATTAACCAAATTATTCGCTTCCTTACCTGAGAAGTGTGTTTATTTTTTCTCAATGTTCACCAATGTGTGTGCGCGCGTGTTCGAGCAAAAGTCTCTCTCTCTCTCTCTCTCTCTCAAAGAATTTCTCTTTCAAAAATAAAAGAGAACCGATGCGAGAGAAACGTTTTCCTTTCGCGCGCGCGGATCGATCTCATTAAACTCTCGCTTTTTTTCTAATCCTTTTGCGGAACCCCGCGTCTGGAAAAACTATTCCAGCGAAGTCATGCCGGAATGGATTCGACGAGTCGAATGTCGAAAGACGCTTCGTAAGACATTCGGAAGTGGAGGTTCTTACGTTAGGAAGAAGCGCGATTGCTCGTTTTCCGGTTCGTGCCTAGGTTCGTTCACGTTCTAAAGTGCATTCTAAATTTTTCAAAAGCAAAGAAGAGACGGGTGTGACAGAAGAAAGCGATGGATGTGAGATAGGGACGCGACTCTCGCGTTGGTTGACATCGCGCCAAGGGATTTCGAATATGTCGAGGACTCGTGCAGAAAGCGTATATACGCGAACGCAATTCGACTACGAAAATTTAAAATTTAACTCTATATAACGACGCGCCGGACAGACAGAGACACACACAGACACCGAGAGCGTGCGAATACACACACACACACGTAGATACACAAGGCACGTGCTGCGGACGACACATTTCCGGAGGCGACGTTTCGGCTGTGCTTTTTATTTTCACGGAGTATCCATCAACATGCGAAAAATGCGAGACGCGGGGATTATATGAAGAGGTCGTCGGCGCAGTGTGAGCGAACGGACGCGGATGTAACGGGGGGGAAAAAATTTTTTTACACACAGAGAAAGAAGAATCTAAAAATTCCGTCCGCTCTCTCGACCCCGAAGGGAAATCCCTTCCCGTAGACTTTTGAGTATAACTTTAAATATCGCCGAGTCCGCGGGGAAATGGATTGATATAGCGAGCAATTATACAAGATTGATCCGGTTGCGCCGGAGAGAGTAGCGCATTAATCTCCGAGCGAAACTCCGGATTATCAAGTAATATGGTCGACATTAAAAGGTTAAGTGGAGTATTCGTTGTAATCCTTCCTCGAATAAATTTTCTCCGTCGAATGAAAAATGGCGGATATTTTAAATAGATGATTCTCGAAAAACTTGGACCGTGTGGATCGCCGCATATTTTTCCGAAAATGCAAAAATGTCGACCGAGCGAGGAGGAAAGAAGAAGTTCGAATTCAATCGAGAATATTTCAAGTATTGAAACGAGTCGAGATCGCGAGCTCGGTCGTTTGCCAAATGTATCGCGGGAACGAACTCTCTCGCGCGACGCGCGTTTTTTTTTTTTTAAATCGCGTTCTCGGAGAAGGTTTAATATCTTATATACATTTTTCCCGTCGCTTTTCATCCCCCCTCTCCCTGTCGCTCGTTTTCAACCGGCTCCGAAAACGCGCGGGCACAACGTACCTTCCGCCGTGGTAACGAGAACCATGTTTTCTGAATGCTTGTTGACCAATCGACGAATAAGGTCAATTTGTTCCAGGGCCAGCTGCACCGAGTCGTGATGTTGCGTCGAGCAGGGAACGTAGGCGGACCAAAACTGCAACAGAGCAAAACCGGAAATATGGGTGAGTTCAAGTGCACATCCATCGATTTGTATTTGTATCCGCTTGCTTTCTCCGATAAAACGCGATTAAATGGCGCTTTTAATCTTTTGATTAATGTTTACCGCACAGATTTTACTCCAATCCGGTATTTATTTTAATCCAACAAACGAGCAATTAAGTGCGTACGAACGATCTGATTAATATTTACTTATTAAAAAAAAAACCAAAAAAAAAAGTAAAAATTTACACACCGAAAAAATTGTATTCTAGTTTTGAGGATATCCCACTTACTTTAAGTATATTTTATACTAAAATAGGCGCCAAGAAGAGTTTCTTATTTTAACACATTGTTGACCGGTCACGAGTTAACTCGTGTTTTTATGGCCGAACGTTGCTGACCGGTCACGAGTTAACTCGTGATGCGTTAAAAAAAAAAAAAAATTAAATTAAATAAAATTTATTAAAGTTTATTTTTATTGTTTTACTTCCACTTCCAATTACAAAATAATAGCCGGTGACATGAGATAAATTTTCAGTAAAATTGTGCCGGTCAACAATGTGTTAAGAGGAAAATCCTCTAAATAGTAATATTGATAAGAATATATACTGATTAGAATATAAAGAGCCTCTATAGAAAAACATATATATCTCACTATCGAAAAAGACTATATTCTTAAATGAAGAATATATTCTTAAATAAAGAATATATTCTTAATTTCAGAAGAATATCATCTAAAATCTTTAAGAAGATTTTTTAAGTATAAAATCTTCTACTTACAAGAATATAATTTTTTCGGTGCATTTATTGTGTTATAATACGCGTATCATTGATACGTTAAATGAGCCAGAGCTAACTAATCGAGAACGATATTCTCCGCCGTAACGTATGGACCGTGCCGAAGCTGAAAATCGATAAAAAAAAACAAAAAAAAAAACAAAAATTATTGCAATTTGTCGCAAAGGATTATCCTTATTCGCAATATTGGTTCGTGAGTTTAGCCGCGTTTTAAAACACGATAACGCGTAATCGCGTTCGTATTCTAATTGCTAGAATATTTCTGACACATATAATGCGCCGCCGCCACCGCCATTTTAATCCCGCATCTGATAACGCTAGAAATAATTAAATGCATATTACAATATATATAGTTCGCAAACACGGCGGCAATTTGCATTTTAAATAACCGGCTATCGGCAACGATCATAAATAATGGAAACTTAAGAGTATCCCATGATAATGCATTCCGAACACAAAGTAAGTACGTGCAACCGCGCTTTCGGTTCGGAATAATTCCGAACGTATCTAAATGCGCGCTCCGACGTGTTACACAGCTACAACGTTTACAAAAGAAGCGGCTTCTCGAGAAAGGCACCGCGACACGCAAAGATCGCGAGCGCAAGTTCTCTTGTGCCTCACACACGCGAGATTCTCTCGCGCGACGATATAATTAGTTCTTCCACTTGTTACGACATCCGTTTGACATTGCGGAACTTGTGTGCGCGCGCGCATATATTTCAACCGGATTATATCGCGCTCAACAACCATCCCGAGAGAGATTAGATTTCGCGAATTTTCCTCCCTTTGCTGCGTCTCGTCGTGCGCGCGCGCGCGCGCACGCACACACGCACACACACGATGTTCTTCTCGGTTTCCGAGAGACAAAGAACGGGTTATTAAACGGAGACAGTTAATAAATTCTTAATCAAGAGAAACACGACTGTCTGATATACCGCGACAGATACGAGACATCGTCGGAACTTGGAAATGAGAAACATTAAGTTCTTTGCTACCCGGTCGCTCAACAACAAGAGAGAGAGAGAGAGTACGAGGTGTGTCTTACTTATTTTTACCGCGAATTTTCCGCATTATGCTCAAGTGGGCGCATCGTCGACTAGAAGTTTTATTTAACAACGCGGGGAAGAGAAGGAAAAATTTATGCCCGAGGCGTGAGGTTGCTCCGTCGCGCGACCGTCGTAAATCAACGACGGACGCGACGAGAGAGAGAGAGAGAGAGAGAGGAGCATATTTCCGGACCGCTTTTTCTGTCTCCCTGTCTCTCAGCTTCTGCGGCCGACAGAAATTGCGGATCTCGCCGAAGTTGCCAAGCAAACGGCGCTAATAGTGACGAATTTAATCTCGCGCGGACCGTATAATTACGGTCGCGTTCGAGAACGTCTGTATTTCGAGTCACTTCGTTGACTTTTGCCGCGCGGCTAATTACGACACGCAAATAATTCATCGGAAAGTTCGGAGCCTACGTCCGGGCTTCACGTCGTGATGGCGCCAAACGCGAAAACAGCTCTTGCTTACGGCAACTTTTAACTCGTGTAATTACTTTCGTTTACGGTCGGATAATTGCTTATGGGTGCGCGACAGTGCGCTCGAAAACGCGGGACTTTGCATCATCATCGAGTACGCACGCGGTTGACAAGTGTTGTATAATCACACACACACACACACATACACACACACAGTCAGTCTGATAGTGTAAAATACGTTTTAGTTTGTTTGCTGATAAAAAATTAGCTGATCAAGTTTTTACAATTGGCCTCTGTGTATCAGATATTACACAGTACAAAAATCGTGCGTCAAAATGTAGAACTTTTCTTGTGTTACGACGTTTTTTGATTATTACTTCAATGTAAAATCAACATAATCCTGATATGTTATTATTTTTTTTAATCTTTTCACGCGTTAAATTTATGTTAACTTCACAAGTTAACATTTTTTGCATGTCATTTAAAAATGGAATATTGTTTAAGCGCTTTTAACGCAACGATTTCAATTAATCTAGATGTCTCAAAGTCAATTTAACACTAGATATCAGGGACTTATACCGATATGCAAAATACCGGTATTTTACCGATATTTTTGGGTAATGATATGAAAACCCTTATGCAAACCGAAATGCAGATATACCGGTATGACGTCATACCGGTATACGATAATACCGGTATATTTACCTATATTTACCTATATTTACCGATAATTTTTTCGTGATTTTTTAAAAGTAATATCTTAAAACTATAAGTGTTGTCATTATGTTGATAACACTCTTTTTAAGCGATTGATATTATATTAAGAAACTAACAGAAGACGATTTTTACAATTTATATATAAATTTGTCCAATACGAAAACATGGGCCAGAGAAAAGCAAATTTTGTACACGAGTATTTCCAGTA